TACTCTAAAAATAATTACCTACCAGAAACAGACCCAGAAGAGTTTGAACAGTGTACTTTGTTAATGTTCTCTCAATCCTCAAATATGGATTAATAACCTGCGGCCAAGCATCAGAGGCAAAATAAATCTTTAAAAAACAAACAAACATTTTCTAGACAATAGCAAACACAAAAGGAACAAATTTCTGTAGATTTTAATTCAAAAATCATAACATACTTTCACTACATTACTTTGTTTAATCACATCACCAGTTCCAATGTTTGTTAAGAAGAACCTATCAATGACACACCTTATAAATTTAACTCAAGAATATATTCATACAGCACAAGACTGACCTATAACCTTCACCAACCACTCTGTAAAAGCACATTACTCCAAAAAAGTACATCGACCTATTCTTTGGAAGAATTGTGTTAATTTTTCAATAAATTACTGAAACATCTGCAAGACATTTCATGATTACATAGTTCCACAAATAAACTCACTTCTTACTGAAGAAACTTTTCTAGAATGTTAATAAATCTCTTAATAAGCAATTACAAGTGCTGTAGTAGGAATTGATGTAGAAGTACAAAACCTGGCCAAAATCCTCCTCCTCTTAGGTCTGTTCAGGCATGCCTGCTTAAAATGCACTAGACAATGAAAACATTAAAATGTTATTATTATTCTTATTGTTGTAAGATTAAAGTTTCTTACTTTTATATATTTATATTTTATTATTTCTATTTAATTGTTATTAAGTAGTACACAGTAAAATACTGATTTGTCATTCATAATTTTAACTGTATGTGTGAAACAATAAAATATTATTATTATCTGGCAATGTTTCAGCAACATAATTTCAATGACCTTTTTAGCACTTCACATTACAGCTCAACACAGAGTATATAATTTTTTGGAGTAATATGCTTCCACATAGTGGTTGGTGAAGGTTATAGGTCTGTCTCATGTTGTATAAATATATTCTTTAGTTAAATTTATAAGGTGTGTCATTGTTCTTCTTAAACAAACTACAGGACTGGATATATGAATAAACAAAAGATTTGTCAACACCAGATGGCAAAATCAAAATTCAGATATTCATACACTAGATACACTTATTGTCTTGATAATATTTCTTAATTTATTGGTGACCATACACACACAAAATTGAACATAAAAATCAAAGAACTTTTGGGGAAATTCAGCTTTGTAAATAGGATCGTTGTTGACTAGAACAATTTACCTGCAGAGGTGCTAGTAACTTTTCCTAGGAGTACGCAAGTTATGCATTTGAGGTTCTCAAGGGCATAAGTGGAGCAAAGTGCAGGGATGTTTATTAGGAGAAGGAAAGGCCAACAAAAGTGCAGGCATGTGTCAAGTGCATATTCTTACTTTTAACATAGAAATTATTAGATTGGGAAGAGAAATGCAGTGAAGTGAAGTGTAATGATGGTATGGAGTAGCAAAGATAATCTTTTCCCCTCTACGTCACATACATGGGTTGTTGTTTTTTTTTGTTGTTGTTTTTTTTTTTTTTATTTTTTTTGTTTTGTTTTTTTTTTCTGCTTCTTTTTTTACTGAATAAATCTTAATGTAATCTAATCTAATTAAATCTAAATCTTAAGAGAGCATATTTTACTTACTTTTATAATAAATAAGAACAACCACTTAACAAATATATACTTATGCACTACCCTTTTTTTGCTTAACTGCCACAAAAGATTCCACTCTTTGCAGAAATTAATATCCATCATCATTATTATCATTATGTATTATATTATTATTATATTATTATTTATATTATTATTATTATTATTATTATTATTATATTATATTATTATTATTATTTATTATTATTATTATTATATTATTATATTATTATTATTTTATTATTATTTATTATTATTATTATTATTATTTTATGTATTATTATTATTATTATTATTATTATTATTAATTATTATTATTATTATTATTATTATTATTATTATTATTATTTTTATTATTATTATATTATTATTATTATTATTATTATTATTATTTTTATTTATTATTATTATTATTATTATAGTTATTATTATTATATTATTATTTTATTATTATTATTATTATTATTATTATTATTATTATATATTATTTATTATTATTTTATTATATTATTATTATTAGTATTATTATTATTAGTATTATTATTTATTATTATTATTATTATTATTATTATTATTATTATTATTATTATTATTATTATTATTATTATTATTATGTATTATTATTATTATTATTATCTATTATTATTTATTATTATTATTATTATATTATTTTATTATTATTTTATTTATTATATTATTATTATTATTATTATTATTATTATTATTATATTATTATTATTATATTATATATTATTATTATTATTATTATTAATTATTATTATTATTATTATTTATTATTATTATTATTATTATTATTATTATTATTATTATTATTATTATTATTATTATTATTATTATTATTATTATTATTATTATTTATTATTATTATTATATATTATTATTATTATTATTATGATGATTATTAACTTAATTGCCACATTGGACCACTTGAGTCGCTTCACTAGTCCCATTGGTCGGACTGGCTCTAAGGTGTGTTTGTCTTCACCTTAGGTGGAGGATAAATCCTCGAGTTACTATTCTGAATGCCATTCAGAAGGTGATAATGAGAGATGGAGGTATGATGTTATGAATTAGCGGGGTGAAAGGATGAACACAACACAACCATGCCCGAGGCGGACTCGAAACCCGCGATCCTTCCGTCCGAGATTGCTACGGCACTATGCCTTAACGATCTCGGCCACCGGATCGGTTAATCATTATTATAATTATAGTTCAATTATAATATATTTTCAAGATACACATCTTCAAAATTATACTTAAACAGTGGGTATATGATTCTTCCCAATTGAATACTTTACATTTAATTTTGAGGGTAATATAATATTTTCAAATTTTCCATGTGTTTCTCAGAGATCTATTTCTTTTTCTTGCTTCCTATATCTCTCTGCCTCATTGGTGTGAATTTTAGATCATCCTCTGAGAATCTTCCTTCTTTTATTCTTTGAATATTTTCAAGTTATTTCTTTTCATTCTTTTCAAAATTCTTCTGTTATATTTTTTTCTTAAGTTGTTTCTCTATGAATGTTTCTTTGTCAATCCAGTCACTATAGCTTATATGTCTAAAGAACTTGTTTGAATTGCTTTCAAACTCTGTTACAAGATCCTAAAGCCAAATAATTGCATTAGCTTGGCTGTCATACTGTGGATTTTTAATAAGATTTCCTGTATCAAATGTACTTTGATTACTCCATTTATTTGAATGTATTTCAAAATTTTATGATAAAAATCTTACGAATTTCAAAGATGTGGAAGTTCGAATTTTTATGTTATATAACATTTTTAAGGTCAAGAGTGAAAGTGATTATCTGAATTGAGACTTCACAACCCGGCATGAGTAAATCTGTTCTTTTTCAAGCCATAATAAAATATTCTGAAGGGCTCAATGAAATAATGTTCATGTAACATTAGTAGATATAATAAAAGAACTCAAGCTTAAGCAGAGTTTTAGAGGAATGATTGAGGTTCACAATGTTATTACTCCTTCCATTGAGAAGGATATGATTTTAAAATCTTCTGCCTCATTTCTGTTTGCAATGAATGAATTCTATTGCCCACATTCCGAATGAAAATTTGTATAGATCTGTGGATGTTTTAAAAGAAGAATAAGAGATTTTAAAATGGAGGCTCTTTTATGAGCTAAAGTCAGAAAAAGCCTGGCTATTAATAGAGTCCACAGAAGATCATTCCAATCTCTCTCTTACGTGCAGAGAAGGAGTAAAACTATAAAACTGGTTAACAAGCTGTAAATATTGACTGAATTTAAACAAGTTCAATATTTTTTTCAAGACAGTCTAATTCTCTACTTTTCTAAAGAATGCATTCAAGAATTCACTACACATTCTTCATGTAATTTTGTGGGGTTCTGTAAATCACAAAAATACTGTATATTGAATTATGGTTAATAATAAATAAACAATGAAAAAAAATGAAATGCAGAGAGAAATTTTAACACATATCAATGGTACCATTGTTCACAAACAAACGTGTTTCTCTCTCTCAATAAAAATATAAAAGTGTTGTCGTCTTTTTTTATTTATCAGCAGCAAACAATCATAACATGTATCTATATTAAACATAATTTCCCATTTTCAATATTTGCAAGATTGAAATTATAATAATTTTTTTTCAATCTCATTCATAAAACTACATATCTTAAAAATTGTTTTAAAGCATCATTTTTTTAATAGTGGAAGAAGAATAAAAAACATAGTTTAAATAAAAAGGGACCACCAGTTCAAATTTGAGAGTAATAATAAATAATTTATATTATGAAAAAAATAAATTTAAACTTTCTTAAGAAAATGATACCTCAGGCTGCTATATTTGCATCTGTCATTAGGTGTCTCATGAATGGTATTTGTATAAGTCTGTTATCTCAAAATAAATTACTTGAAATTGCTAGAAAATTTAATTAACTCAGAAATGTAATGTTTTGGAATGAAAAAAATATAAAATAGGGAGAGTATATTTGTTTTTCGACATGTGTCGTTTCTCAGGGATGCATTTTAGTGATTAAGAAATTCTGTGAATTTATCAGTGGTCCAGAGTGGGAAATCAATAACTCAAACTTCATGAAATATTGGATAATATTCTGCGAATTAACAATTGTTTTCCCGCTCCGTAGAAAATTGCAACTCTCGACTTTTATCGAACTGAAGATGTATAGTTTAATCGTTGTACATATGCTTCTGAGTTTCGTAATACGAATATTTGCATTAATCTTTACTTGAGGGAAATTTTTCGCCTCTGTTTCTTCCGGGCAAGTAAAATGATGAACCTCTCTCCTAGAAAATAAATTTTGGTGGTCATCGAACCTTAATATCGATGTGCGGTATCGATGGTAGCCAGCAGCTGTGAAGCATGTTGTCTGGTGCGTATTGATGGCCAGGGAACAGCTGTGAAATAGAAGAATTTTCAAGCACTGCATCCGTTGCCGGACAAATTTGTTTAGGGATATATGCATTTAAATCGCTGCGTAATAATTTCCATGTGCATTATTTCAAGTTCGTTCAGGTTTACTCCCTGGAAATTTGATGATGGGACTATATTTGAAGGAGCACGGATCCATTACTAAGTCCTAGGGCCTTTTCACAATCAGTGCATTTCCGAAGCGTTTTGGTTGGGTTGTGAGCAATGATAAACGAACGGATGGTCCTGTTCGAGACTGAAATTGGCAACTCGCGTCTGGAAAAATCCCCATCGTTATTTCGGATTACGCAAGGAGGTAGGCTTTATTGCTTGATGGACTACACTTTTGTTTTAGGGTAAAAATGTTTCTCGTGTCCGAGGCCTTGGCGAATGAGAAGCAAGTACATAATGATGGTGGCCCTTGTCTCTTTTGTCTGCGTTATGTTTTCTTTCACTGTGGAGACCTAGAATTGGGTTACTGACGTGTTTTGGACGTTATTGATAATGTGTGAAGTGTTGGGTTGTAAGTGAAAACGTAAGACGGGTTGGTAATCGTTGATCGGTGGTGTAACGCAGCGAAGTTCGTTTGGCGTATAATCGATTTGTGTTGTTGACTGGCTGGCACTACATCAAGCACTGACAGAAATAGAATGCGATATTAACCCAGTCGATGATTATTTGCTTAAATATGTGTGAAAAAGTTTCGGAAGATCATCTCGCATCACGATGCACAAAGAACTTGCGGAACTGCGATTCACGCCCGATTAGCGAAACCGTTGTAATCGGTAATTAATTTTTGTTTCTTTGGATATTTAATTAAAGTTATTATGTAGTATGCTACATACTAATTTTGAAGAATGACTTAGTCGTCGAATGTTCTTTGTGTGAATTTAACGAGAACTGAAATACAGTGCAACTGGGAAGTTTTGGATGATGCACAGGAGAAAGTTTCTAAGTAATTGGTCATAATTGTTTTTTGAAAATTAAATTGTTAATATATTTGCAGTACATGTGACATTTTTCAGTTATTTTGCTTCTAGTAATCTGTTAATCACTTCTTGTGTAAATCGAGTGGTGTTATGTTACACAAAACATGAAATGTGATTTCTTCTATGGTTGGGTTTTTCCTTGAACTCATTACATTTTTGTTCAGAGCTGAATAATATGTATTTGAGCTTTTGAATTGACTGAAAGAGTTAGGGATAAAAAACTTCAATGTGGCAGTGAATTGTAAAGTAAAATAATAATCATTTGTGACAAAACTGGGTAGCAAGAAGTGATTTGCATGTTTCAATTAATTTGTGCTAGGTTTTTGTGAAAAAAAAAAGTGATCTTGCTTAACTCTTCTTTTGTACATTCAAAAGGTTCTGAGAAACAGATAACATGTAGTAGTTAATGCATGTAATATTGTATATAGCTCTGCAGAAATAGACTTGTGCAGTGATTGTTAGTTATATATAGCGAGATTGTTTTTAAAGGTCATTTGTGACATTAGAGCCTTAATTTCTCATTCATATTATTCCACAAATAAACTATTAAAACAATAAAAAAGTGTTTTATAATTATTATACCAGTAGTTTTGACATAATTGCTAAGGAAGAGTATTGCTTATTCTCTCTCATATTTCATTTTATCAACTAGTAAGAACTTGCGCTGTAACAATAGGCTGATTGTAAGATATTATAGGTGTAACAGAAATAGTTTTTACATATGTAATATTAAGTATTTTGGTGCTATTGAATTTAAATCAAATTAATTAATTTTTTACAAAATACTCTTGAGTTGTTTTTTTTAAGCTCAGAATTTATTTAGAAAACTGTCCAGAGTTCTCACAATTTTTCTTATGAATTTTAGAAGAGAAGATAACTTTGAATAGTGAACTAGTATTTTCAGTAATTAGAGAGACTCTTCACTCTTAATACTTTTTTAAGATTGAAGTTACTGTGATATTGCAAAATAGATGTTACAGATGTAGTTGCTCATAATCAATATAACATAATTGATGAGTCATTGAGTAGAATACCTACTTGCTAGATTTAGCTTCATTCACAAATGTTTTGTTTATTTTTTAAGGTGGTAGCCATTTTGTTTCATGTTTCTCAGCAATGAAAACATTACAATTTAAATTTTTACTGAACATTTCTTTTGAATTTAGTGAGAGTGTAAATTAAACCTTGTCCTAAATTTTTGTAGAAATTACTTAATGTTTTTCATTAAAATGTATTACTTTTTAAAAAATCTAAATTATGATTAGTAGTGAATCTGTAGTTTTTTTCTGATAAATCTTATTTTGAGTAATGAAATTCAGTTGAAACATGCGCTTAGTTCATCTTTTTCTAGCTAGAACACGTGACAATTAGAATATCTACTCAGATTGTTTATTTTATGAAGTTGTGCATTGTATCTTGTTTGCTTTGTTTATTTGGTGAAAAACAAGGGGTGTGGCCATTGAAATTCCCTATATATTCAAAATATCCAGGTGTAAGGAAGCACTGTAGGGATCTGAAGTGGTACTGACAAATCCTTTGTTTTGTCTTCATCGAGAAGGATTATTCAATTTGTTATTCCATTAAAATGCCACTGTGTATTTTTTTTTATATATATTTTGATTTATGGTGTGCACTTCTTTAGAAATTGTTGTTTTAACAGGCCTAGTTTGATTGTGGCATGCCTGAGCTCATGCTTTGCGTCTATGGCCAAGCAACCTAACTCTGTTCCCGGGGGGTCTGTAACGCTTCTCGAGACAGCTGGGGCCGGCACCAGTAACACGGCTAGGTGAGTTCATAAGTCAATACTGTCAGAATGGTTACCTACCTAGATTCAGTCACTGTGAATGCAAAATTATTCTTTTTCAAGTTGTAAGGTTTTGATTGTAATTTGCTTTCAGAGGTAAATCCCAAGCGTGTGGCTCGAGGAAGCGTCTTAACACATCTTCTAAACATTGGTCATCATCAAGTGGTAAAAGGTTTCGTACCAACTCTAATTCTTCTTTGGTACCTGTGGACGAATTGGACTCAGACGACGAAGACCTATATGCTCTAGACGTTCCCTCGCATTATCACAATCACTGTAACCCAAAAGGTCACAAATCTCAGAGCAAAAACAGGAAGGTCGGTACGGCTGCATCAAGAAATTCTTCCAGCAGCTTGCTCACAATTAGTCAGAAGAAAGGTATGTTTTCAGAAAATCTGAAAAAAAAATTTTAGATTGATTACATAGTTTTCCTATTTATTTCAAGTATGTTGCATTTGTTTGCAGTTGTATTTGATCAGGTTTATTGATCTGCCATTCTCCAAGTTTTGTAATTAAACACACTAGCATTCAGATTAGGAGATGTATGATAGTTGAAAGGGATTTAAAAATTAACATTCACAATTGCCCTTTTTGTTGCTGACATGACATGAAACTTACGTTATCTTGGACTTGACCTTACCTGTGAAAAATTAGATTATTCATAGCTAAACCAGGTGAATTGTTTTATTTTAAATGGTCAGTGTGTTGGGTTCAATTTGTATGTGTGATACAGAAGGAAAGTACTTTTGAAGCTCTTTATTCATATTATTTTGAGTAGACAAACTTGTATACTTGTACAGGCTCTCGTGGAACATCATCGCGAGAGGGTGTTAAAAGAGGCTCCTGCCGACTGAGCACATCCAGCCGAGAAACGGCCACTCCCCCAGTAGACCATAGACTCAATCGCCTTTCAGCTGTGGAGGAAGGGGAAGACTTGCTTTTGCTTGACTCTGGTGTTGAAAGTAGACGAAACAGTAGTGTATCTGGCTCTACTCGATCGCGCACCAATAGCAACAACAGCAGCTGCCCCAACCAGCCACCCTCTTCTGTGCTGCGGGGCTCACACGCCCCTGAAGCCAAAATTGATAACAGCAGTGGCAAGACAGCTGCGGCAGCACGAAGGGGTGGCCGGGGTGGGGGCGGTGGGGGCAGCAGCAAAAACTACACCAAAACTGTGAATTCTACTTCAGTTGCAAGTACTCGAACATCAACTCGTCATAGCATTGCTTCCAAGGCCAAAGTGTTTGTAGATTCAGATCAGCAAAACCTATCTGCCCCCGAGCGTGGAAGTAAATCAAACGGAAGATCGTCAAGATCTAGTTCAGTCACATCTGCTACAGGTGACGACAGCGGATCACTTTCAAGTCAAGTACAGACAACTAAACCAACAAGGAAACCGGCAGTTTCAGCATCATCATATATTTACACCCGTAAAACTTGCAATACTCCACAGTCTAGTGTCTGGTCTGGGTGTTCACCTTTCCATAAAAGAGGAGAAAATAGTAACACTTCTACTAATACTCCAGACAATTCTGAAAAGGGTGCTGTCAAGAAACAATATCAGTCTAGCAAAGAGTTCCGCAAACGAAACGGAAATAATAACATACCCGCTTCTGCTTCCAGCAGCAATTCCACTAACAACAGCTGGGAGTCAATCTACGTGAAGAACAGTCCTTCAAGCAGTGTTAAAACTTACTCAGCTTCTAGTAACGCAGCTCGCTCTACACCTGGCACTCAATCATCAGTCAAGTGTTACGGACGTGGTCGAAAGAGAGATCTGACTGCCGAAGCAACCTCTCATATCTCTTTACCAGCTCCCCCTGCAGCCGCTACTACTACCACTACCACTACTGCTGCTGTTGCTGCTGCAAGTTCAGCAACTTCAGGTATATTTCAATCTATAGTAAATAAGTATCAAATTTTCGTAGGGGAAATGAACAACTGTAGTTACTTTGATTTCCTTGTAGACACACAACCACAGCCTGTAAGAAGGTATCAACTTCGTAGCCAGGTGAGGCTGAGTGACACAGGGGAACCAACTCCTTCAGGAGTCCCACGACGCCTCACCGTGGTTCCCAAGAAGAAAGCTAAAGTTGCTGATTCTACGAAGAATCTTGGTGAGTTTATTTTACATCTTCTGCAACCACCTTACAACTTTGAGTTTGACTGATCTGTAGAATTGAGTTGCTCAATAAATGTAGAAAAGTTATCTCGTATTTAAGGGCATAACAATTCAAAATGGACACATGAAGTAATTGAAGAAGTTTGGGTTTAGTTAACAGTTTGGTTGCCAGTTACAAAAACGATTATATTTACTATTATGAAATACGACAATTGTAGTACTCCATTCAAGATAAATTTTGGCAGCTTCAAGTTCTGAAAAAGTGTTTCATGAATGTCTTTGTTTACCATGCTATTTACTAAAAACAAATTTAAACTAAAATACAAGTGAAAAATATTAAATGAAGACTTGCATAAAAAAATATAACCTATAGACTTCATTCATACTATGCAGCTCTAAAC